ATCATTGAGCACATTGCCATCTCCAAGTCATTCGGAAGAGTCAATAACTACGTCATCAATCCCTCGCAGGAGCTTGTCGCCGTCGGCTTCACGAACCTCTTTGGACCCTTCCTCGGCGCCTACCCGGCCACCGGATCCTTCTCCCGTACTGCCATCAAGTCCAAGGCCGGTGTTCGCACTCCCCTCGCCGGTATCTTCACTGCCGTAATCGTGCTACTGGCCCTGTACGCCCTGACCTCCGTCTTCTTCTATATCCCCATGGCTACCCTCGCCGGTCTCATTATCCACGCGGTCGGTGACCTCATCACGCCGCCCAAGGTGGTGTACCAGTTCTGGGAGGTCTCGCCCCTCGAGGTCTTCATCTTCTTCGCCGGCGTTCTCCTGACCATCTTCACCAATATTGAGAACGGCATCTACCTAACCATGTGTGCCTCCGCCGCTCTCCTGTTGGTGCGTCTCGCAAAGGCAAAGGGCCATTTCCTCGGCCGCGTCAAGGTCTACCGCGCCACAAAGGACACCGCCGGCAAGGGCGTCCCGTTCAACGAGAGGGGCGAGGCTATCGATGTCCCTGCCCGCGAGAGCTACATCCCTCTCGAGAAGGATGATGGCTCGAACCCCAACATCGACGTTCAGACCCCTTACCCTGGTGTCTTTGTCTACCGATTCGGCGAGGGCTTCAACTACACCAATCAGGCGCACTACATGGACGCTCTAGTCGCCTATGTGCAGAAGCACGCCAGACGGACAATCCTCGATCGCTACGAGAAGCTTGGCGTAAGTTCACCTACCTACTGTACTCAGCTTGATAATTCATCTAACAATCACTCAACAGGACCGTCCCTGGAACGACCCCGGCCCGCGTCGTGGCGCCAAGATCGATCTCGACGACACCCGCCCCATCGTCCGCGCCATCATCCTAGACTGCTCTGCCGTCAACAACATCGACGTGACCTCGATTCAAGGCCTCATCGACGTCCGCAACGCACTAGACCACTACGCCGAGCCTGAGGTCGTCGAGTGGCACTTTGCCAACGTCAACAACCGCTGGACCCGCCGTGCCCTCGCCGCCGCCGGTTTCGGATTTCCCTCCGTCAAGGATGAGGGCAACTTTGGTCGGTGGAAGCCCATTTACAGCTTCGCGCCCGTCGACTCTGGATCGGGTCACGAGCCCCGAGTTACCTCGCAGCGCAGCCGGGACGAGGAGGAAGAGGACGTCATCTCTCCGACAAGCAAGGGTCACGACGGTGCTGCGAGGGTCGTGGGACGTGGCGATGGCAAGCTTGCTGCCGTGCAGGGTATGAATCGGCCATTCTTCCACATTGATGTTGCTGCGGCTGTGGAGAGTGCGATTTTGAATGCGGAGAGCAAGAGTGATGGGCAGAGATCGTCGGCTGAGTCGGTTCTCAAGAGCGGCTAGAGTTGATTAAGTGGCCATGATGTGCACATATGTTATGGTGCTTGATGAGGTGTAGTAATTGTTGTTCAAAGATTATAGATCCAGATACCATGTTGTGTTGTTGCATATACCGCTCTAGGGATTGGGCAGAGGGCCTGATTACATCTTCTAATTCAATCTTTTCCCTCATTCCCATCAGACGATACTGTCAATCGAGGTCTATGAGACTTGTGAAGCCTCCAAAGCTGCGTTTCAGGATTGTATCCGTGCGGATTCGCGTAGGGAGTTGGTCTGAAACGCGGCTGATGCATCTTGGCGTTCTGCCTTTGCTGTCGTCTCCAGCGTGCGCCAACTATTGATGGGACAGACTCCCGAGCGCAAGATTTGTCTTCAGTCTCTACAACTTCAATTGTCTTTCCTTGAGTGATTCACATCATATAACATGCGAATATCATCAAATCCCATCATACGAGCCGCCCTCATGGCGGTATGGCTCGCCTCCACAGCCCTCGCGATGCCTCAAGTTGTCGACCGCGATGATCCCCCACCCACCCCACCAGCGCCGCCGAAACCCATCGCGACGGCCGACCAAGTCGACATCACTCAACCAAACACCACCGCTCCTCCACCACAAGAACAGAAGCCGCCCGTCCCGATCACAGTCCGACTGTTCCCCAGCTCACCAGGCGTCAAGAACTGCCGCGGCGCGTCCTTTGTCGACATGGAGCTACCGCAGAACGCGTCGACGGAGCCGACGTTCACGACCAAGGATGGGCAATGCTATAACCTACCGGGTACGGCGCAGTGCGGCATCTTTATGGGAAACAAGGCGGACGGGTGCGAGGCCAAGCTGTTTCGCGGGGAGCGGTGCAGCGCATTTTCCAACGTGGCTGTTTTTCAGGACGAGCTGCGGCCCGTGGGTGGCTTCTTTGCGAGTATGAGCATCAAGTGCGGTGTCGTACCTATTGAGCCGAAGCCGTTGAGTTTGGGTGGCTTGGGCGGCAAGATGCAGAAGCCCGTTCAGGGGAAGGGCAAGAAGGCGAGGAGGGCGGTTGTGTCTGCGATACTCGACGATGACTAGACTCGCACGGAATAGGCGTTAAGGGTCTGGGACTTGAAGCGAAATTCCACCCCCGGTACAAGGGCCCGGGAGGTTTGCGGGAGTTGCGGCACGGAGACGCCGGCAATGACAGGATGGCATTAGCCGTTGACGAATAATGATAACGACACTTGACGACCATACGAGAGTTTTCATTCAGTGAAGCAGCCCCCGATTAGCTGTGGCCCTAGCCACCCTAGTAAACCTGCCAAAGCCAAGTTCCAATCAGTGTCGTTCTGGGTCTTATGACGCCGGACGTTAGACCAGGCAAATACCTGGTAGGACGACAGTGGTCGGTTTCTCGGCTCATCAGGCCCAATTCACGTCTGACTGGCTCGATGCCTCGGGGCCGTCATGCTGGTGGCGACCAAAAACATGGACCGTCGTGCCAGAGGGAGGATCAAACAGGAGGGGGCCACAGCCGGACCACATCGTCCACAATCTTCTGTTGTGGTTGATTGGTCTGTGCTTGGGGAAGGAGAATTGTGAGACACCCTGCTTGGCGATCATGGACTCTTAGTATGGCCCCGTTTGCTGAGCTTATTCTCTCGATGGTCGCATTGTAGACTGGAGACTATGGAAACTCTCTGTTCTCGAACTCAAGTTTTGCAAAAGAGAGAAGAATTTCGCAAAAGGATTCAACGGCTTTGAACGTGCTCAATCATATACGAAGAAATAAGCTAGCCGCGGCGTCCCAAGTCTCTGGCGTGGCTTTCACCCAAGACACCAGACCGTCTGATCTGAGATCCCAAATGTGTCATCTCGTCTCAGACGCTCCAGCCCCTTGCACTGACAAGAACACCCTCCTACCGAGTGTCCCCCCTCCCACTGCTCCCCTCCATGTCAATTATGGCACATATAACGACACAGACTTCCTGGATCCCTCTCTTTTCAGTTGCCTGCTGCCACTCTCCCCTCATTTTGGACCGAGTCATCCTTCTTTTTTCTCTCTCTTCTTTTCTTTTGGGGTTGTATTCCTTCACTTCTCAGTGGCCGGCCACTTTTAAACTTTTGGGTTGTCATTGAACTTTATCGGCTGGTTTCTGTCGCAGTCTTTTCAGTTAAACTTGAAGCTCTCTCGACAACACCCTTGCTTACCTTTCATAATACAACATCATCTATTCTCCCATCTCGCCTCTCGTTTAAGCTCGACATCAAAGCGAAAAAAGTGTCACCGCAAGCCAAGATGCAGCACTCAATCTTCACCAACCTCTTCCTGGCGGTCTCCCTCATGAGCACCTCCACCTTCGGCAAAGCAATCGAGGTTCCAGCCCCGGGCCCCGCCGTCGTCGTCCGCCAGACAAACCCCACGACGCCCGCCCAGTCGACCATCATGTCGTGCGGCGAGTACTCCCGCATCGCCAACCTCTCCACCGTCGGCGCAAACAGCACCTACCGCGCCACCTTCTTCGAGGCCTCGCCCAACGGGAACCAGTTCAACGCCGAGGTCCTCGACACCGCCATCCTCAAGCTGCCGACCGCCATCATGGACCGCGCGCTGAACGAGGCCTGCGGGAACCTGACGGCGCTGGCGATCCAGGAGGCTGCGAACAACTTCTCGATCCGCACCGTGTTGCAGTTTTCAAACATCCCGCCTGCTGAGCCGCTTGATACCTCTACACACATCATCTTTGTCTGTGCCGGTGCGTTGTTCTTCATGAGTGGAATCTGGGTGGCCATGCCGTGAGAGAAGTCGTCTCGATGTGGTGCTGGGGGGGTTGATGAGGGAGTTGATGGGGAAGATGGAGGCAAGGAGAGGGAGAGAGTGGGAGAGAGGACCGATGTTCAAATCACCCGGATTCTACAGACCTAATGCATCCTACCTGAACCCAGCTTTGAAATGTGGATTTGCTCTGAGTCGGAATGGGACTTGAGAGATATGCTTAGCGCGGTATTGAACATGAATGCGATTACGATACCCAATTGAAGTCACTTACTTACCTTGGCCGCTGTATCGACCCATGAAATGATCAGACTTCATTTCGGTGATTTTGTCGCCTAGCTATTCAACCTCGCCTCGTATTGAAAAGTCGAGCGGGCAGGCGGATGGAGTCGATCTGGTTCTTCAATGTCTGACGAGCTGGATGAACGTATCTAGACAAGGTTCCGCCTCGATCGTCATGATATTGATGGAGATTGAAGTGTTGCCGTGCTCCCCGGTCCCACGGATTGCACAAAATTTATAAAACGGATCTTGCAACGCCCGACGGCCTGCACACTAGATATAACTAATTTCTAGCTACTCTGAAAACTCACTATGAATCATCATGGCTCAGTATAACGCGCGACTCTCATTGGTCGTTAACGTACTAGTAAATTGGCTTTGACCCTGAATGATCTAGGCAGGCACGTGCATCGATCGCTCCTGCCAGTCCAAGGAATTTGATGCCGCTTTTAAGCACTACACGTACAGTATATATCGAGCTCTTCCTTGTTCTACCTTGGACGTCCTCTTTCATTCGACTTCCAATTCTCTATGCAACTGACAACCACAACATTTGGAGAATGTCAGAATCAAACCACGCCATCGTCTTTGGCGCTTCTGGCCTGCTCGGCTGGGCGACTGTCGAGCAGCTGCTCTGCAACTACCCCTCCGAGGGCTCCTTTGAGAATGTCACGGCTGTGATGAACCGACCGCTATCAGAATCCGACTCTTTCTGGCCACCTGTGTCACCCACTAGACCCAGATTACAAATTGCTTCTGGTGTCAATCTTACTGGGACGCTGGAAGACCTGACTTCGCAGCTCAAGGGCAAAGTCGATGGAATCGAGGGCATCACCCATGTTTTCTATTTCGGTGAGAACCGTTCCCTGTCATGAATTGTCCTCGAGTGGAAGGCGCTACTAAACTTTCGATCCCTGTTACAGTCTTCAATCAGGGCGATGGGGACGATGTTGCCGAGTGCAAAACCAACTGTGGCATGATGCAGACGGTTGTTGATGCAGTAACCACGTTGTCGACGAAAATCAAAGCATTCGTCTACTCTGGCGGGACCCGAGTAAGTGTTCCCCATCGCCAATCATGTTAAGTCTCTAGGCTGACAGCCATCACGCAGGGCTATGGGATCTACACACCTGGCGGAACCTTCAAGCCCCCCTTGGAGGAATCAATGGCCGACAACCTCCCCCAAGACTACGCAAAGACCGTTGCCTACCCCTGGTGGCGTAAGATCCTCGCAAAGGCAAGCGACGGCAAACCCTGGACCTGGTCAGAAGTATGCCCAGACGCAGTAGTCGGATTCTCCCCAAATGGATCTGGTTTCTCGTTAGCACTCCACTGGGCGCAGTACCTGTCCCTTTACGCCTGCAACCACGGTGTGAGCAAGAACTCCAGGTCCAATGTTGAAGTTCCGTTCCCTGGAAACCAGGTGGGGTACACCAGCCTTTGCACTCCCGTCTCTTCTCGGACTCTCGGTCGCATCGCCATCCACGCCTCACTTCATGGGGGCAAGTGCGGCGGAAAGGTCATTAACATGGCCGATAGAGAGCAGCCTACCACGTTTAGTGACCTCTGGCCATCGATCGCTGATTGGTTCGGATTGGTTGGCGTTGGGCCGAGGGAGAACGACAATCCAGAGAAGCCCGGGGAGTACGTCAAGAAACATAAGCAGATATTCGGAGAACAGGGCTGTGGCAGGGCTGTCACTGCTGGCGTTGGGGGTGGAAGTGTCCAGCTTGATAGTGTCGGTTACTGGCTGTCCTTTGACCGACAGCTTAGCTTGCAGAGGCTGAGGTCTGTGGGATTCGTCGAAGAGAGAGATCCGATTGAGGGCTGGCTGGAGGCATTTAAGAAGTTTAGAGAAGCGGGTATCATTTTGTAACAATACTTAAATTGAAGCAGAAAACACTTCGACTTGCAGTTGCGATGCCAAAGATAAACGGCGCCCACTTGGTTGTGCTGGCCTCATGGAACTCAAAATGACCATACGGTGTCCTCTCAAATTCATTGAGGTAGAAGATGTTCAGAATTTCATCAGAAAGCTGAGATGGATTGAATTATTAAAATCATAACACCAATCCATCGCAAAGATTACGCTTAGCTGAATCTGTCATGAAAGAGCTGGGTGCATCAACATCCCGAGGCCTTTGGGCCCACATCCAATTACCTTCACCTTTTTTGCCCTGCACACGTTCTATCAGTCCCAAAGTCTTACGATAACTTTCTACAGTGGCCTGTGACTTCGCTTCTTTGAGTCAGAGTTTACTCCTTCCCCAACAGCCACCGCATCCCCTTCATCGTATTCGGTCCCAGCTCCGCAGGTTGGTCATGAGGAGCAAAGATAGTCCAGCCCTGATGCCCCCAGTCGGGATAGCTATCAACTCTCGACTCAACCCCATTATCCTTCAAAATCTTTGCGTAAATCAACCCATCATCCCTCAGTGGGTCTCGATCGCCAACCTGTATATAAGCCTTGGGTGATTTTGGGATGGCCTCAGGGTCGTTGAACGGCGAATACCATGGCGACTTGATCTCCGCCTGCAACGCCTTCGACACATCGTTGATGACAGCGGTAGTGAAGGTCGGGCTCCATTCAGCGTTGGTCTCGCGGGAAACCCACTCCTTGGCGTACTTGTCCGGTACAATCTCCTCGACAAGTAAGAACGGGATGCCCAGAAGCGTGCCGGTAATCCCCAGTCCCTCGACACCAGACCTCTGGCTGACAACCGAAGCAATGTTCGCGCCAGCAGACCACCCGCCAACGACAAAGCCTTTGCTAATATCCGCGCCGAATCGACTAGCATTCTTCGATAGCCAGACTGCCGTCTCCCATCCGTCCTTGACGGACCTGGGAAACTTGTTCTCAGGCGCGAGACGGTAAGTCGCGTTGACCACCACAGCGCCGAACTCGAGCGCGAATTCCCGCGCGGGGCGGGTCGTCGGCTCGACGCCGGCAACGATGAAACCGCCACCTGGCCAGAGGAGGATGAGAGGCCGGTCCGCGTTTGACTCGTCTACGCCGCGCGGGCGGACGACTTGGAGATCAATTTTGTAGCCATCGGGGAGAGTCGCGACGTCGCGGAACTCCTCAAGGGACTTGTCAAGTGGAGGGAGAGCTGCGAGGAGGCTTTGGAGGAGTTGAGGTCGTGTTTCCCTTGACTTTATGAAGGATTCCATGATTGAAACTTCCGGTGGACTTTGATGAGCGAGATAAGTCTGAGACTCGGAGTTGTGTAGTTGAACAGGCCAGCGAAATGGGGTATTGGAAGAGGACGTTTCGGCTTTCTTCAACGATTTCTCGTACCCAGTATCCGAGTCGTACCGCCCCCGCCCCCAGGGATGTGGATCCGGGGAGAAGTCAAGTTGGAAACGCGGGGCATCGGGCCAAGTCCGGCGTCGGCAATGCGACGTCGGAGGTCTCTGAGGGCATTTGAGTGGTTCAAGTAGTCACGACGGGTCCGTCGACGGGGTATTCTGCACCGAAACCGAAGTTTGCACGACATGGTGACGCGGCAATAGCCACCTCGGGATCCGGGAATATGGCTTGTCAAATCTACATGTACGCTCTACATGGATCTGTCATTTTCTCTAAGTCTGCTGCGCATTGCCATAGAATACTGCAGTCCCATCACATGAAGTAGAAAGCTTACCACCCAGCAATGGACCTCCTTCCGGCGGTCAATGATAAGAAGATCGGTCACTGTCGTCACGCACGCGTCTATGACACGTTACCAGCCAAATTTGCTCGATAGATGGTCTTGGACAATTTTGTAGTATGAAGGAAGCCTTCTCGTCTTTCTGCGAAAACAACTTCATGATAATTAAGTGATACCACAGGCATAAGAGAAAGCACGATCTCATGCTCAACCGCCCATCACAACGCATGGAAGATACCCGTCTTGTCGAGCCAGGCGGACGCAGCAAGTCAGGCAAGCTGAACTTTGAAGGACACCAAGGTTAGCTGTTGCACTCTTGTCGATGCCCCTCGCCCACCTAGCCACTTCGTCGAGCATTAACCCGCAAACAAGGAGTTGCTCGAGTTTGTTTCCACGTAAAGCGAATATCACCACTTGTGTGGCATCTCGTTGGCAGAGAGACGCAATATGGAAACCATTGAGCACTATATCCTGATCGTTTTCCACAGTATACGAAGCGTCTTTCTGGTGATTGCATTTAGGAATAGCCCAGCGGTAGAAGAGCTGAGAAATGCAAAGTTGGAATGATGCCGCTACTGGTCTCGATGTTTTTCCGATCAAGTTCAGTCGGATAGAAACCATTTGCTCATGGACACCCACATCCATGGCAATACCGCTATCCGGGGGTCTTTAGCACGGATCCAACAGGGTCTGTCCGGCCAACGAGACAGGCTCCGCGATCTCGTCGACGAGACCAATGGTTTTGTCCAAGACAGGGCGCGTCCACTGCCAGATGTCGCCACGGAGGGGCATTGGCTCTTCCATGATGACGTTGCGGAAACTTCCAGCCATAGACGCCCGACCAGATTGAATGCGGAACAACCTCCCACATTCGTCAAAGCACTCCTTTTCCATTATGCATGCGTAGTTTATGGTGAATTCTCTTCCCGAAATCCCAAGGATGGAGTAGGACTCTCCTATCCTGGCAGGCGCACCGGCTTTTCCTAGCCATTCAAATTCGTAGTCACAACAGATAAGTTCCCCAAGATGATCGAACAAATCTCTGTGTGTTGCCGTTCTATGCACGGCGTCGAATAGATTTGTATCGTCGACCATGATGAGGTTTTGGCTCCAGAACGTCATAGTATCGCCTGCGATCACTCTTTCCTGTACTCTGACCTCGGAGGCGTTAAATTTGCAAAACATGAGTGCTAGAGCCGTGATCGCAAAGCAGTGGATCATTCTCCCGACTGTCCTGCAGAGGCAAGGGCGAGAATGCATGCCCTCTTCCCAGTCGAATTCTTTCTTCCAACTGAAGCGATCTTGATGAACATGACAGCTATTGACCAAAATGATCAGATCCTCGACGGGAAGGAACCTGAGTCCTTGGTATTCTATCCTGGCTTGCTGTATACTTGGTGGAGACCCAAGCTCGAGACTGTATTTTGGCCTTTGTGGTACGGTTTGTTGGCCAGCGCCGATATTCATCGAGATCAGGACCTCCTCCAATGCTCTCGCACCCTGAAAACGATCATTAACAGAATGAAACTGAGAGCTGTTGAACAGAAAAGAGTCCGAATGAAGCTGGATCCTCATCCTTTCCATTAGGAAGTAGGAAAGGGTTCGGATTGTTCTTCGAATGGAAGCCGCAGTATTCTGATCGATCTCTGGTCGTCGGAGGATTTGCGCCTCGAGAGCTTCTCCAAGCAGATAATCGAGCATCAGAGGGTTTTGGATCTTCTCTTCGTGACCCTTTTGCACCCTCAGTCCGCCGGTATTTGAGAATGGGTAAAGCGCAGATTGAACAGAAGGTTCGTCATCAAGCTGGAAGAGACAATGTCCATGGTCGCCGCCGCTCGCCCAAACAACTTTTCGGTTGAGGCGAACTTCAACAGACATCCCGAGAATATGGCTTGCAAAAGCTGGAAGCCATGATCCGCGCGTCTTGAGCGCCATATAATCTCTTTGGTTTCTCTGGGATGTGTGAATGAGCTGCTTGATAGCCCCGGCCAGAGATGCCGCACCCCCCACATCTTTTAGTTGCATGAGCAGACGTGCAGTTCTGCTAGATTCTCCTTCGCGTGGAAACTCTTTGCCATCGTGCCTAATCACTCTCTCTGCAAGATTCGTGATATGCTGGAGAACCTTTGAAAAGCCCAGACCTTGGGTGAAAGGAGCCAAATAGCCAACTAATCCCTTGAGTACATCGACACTCGGCAGCGTATCGGCCTCCAGCCCATGGATCGCCATGACCTCGGACAAGCATTGAGCAGCAGCAAAGGCCTGGCATCCCGTCGCAAGCGTACCCATTAGAATTATGGCATTCGTTCCAGCAACTGTCCGAGCCAGGTCCGCTACTGGTGGCGAGTGGCCCCATCCAATGCTGAGGGCTTTTGAAAGAACAGAATGATATGAGTAATCGGCCGGTCAAGACATGTCCCATCGAGGCCGTAGCCACAACGTCAGCTTGTAGGCTGAAGCCTGCTTGATCGGACATACTATTTTGCAGTCTGCTACGTGACCTTGGCCCGGGGTTTTCGGAATTCTTTGGGGGCTAGATACAGAATCATGGGAAGGACTGTGGACTTCCTGGCAAAGACGGGGAATCGAGATGTCGCTCGGATAAGTTTGAACAGCGTTTATCTCGAGTTGTTGCCGGCAAAGTCCACTGATATGGGCTCTGGACTCTTATTGAACGACACGGCATGGAGCATTTGAAAAGAGGGGTCAGATAGAATCGGGCTTACCTGAGCTGAAAGACGGCAGGATAATCTGCTGCGATGGCTTGTCTTGGTGCGTCGCGGTGGATCATGTAATTGGTCCATAATATGCGCGAGGACTTACCAAAGTATCGTCTTTGGTGTCTTTGGGAGGTATTGACACCACGTAAAACAGTTTAAGCAAAAAATCAGGTGACCATAGCTTCGAAATCAAATCTGAGAATTCGCTGTTGACTTTTCTTGGTATCGTCTGACGCGCGATGAAGTTGCAAATCCGAGAAGCGCTCGGAAAGCAGAGTCCGAGGCAAGCATCTTCTAGCCAATCACACCAAGACATCCCTACACTAACCCATCGTAATTGTTAGTAGTAACTTCACGTCCAGCACAACACCAACCAATCTTCACCAACTCATCGCCCTCGCTCACTACCACCACCCCGATTCTCAACATCAACCCCCCGATCTCCACAATCCGTCAGCAATCTTTCAAAACCATGGCTCGCACAGAAGAGGCGGAAGCATTCTTCCACGCAGTCTACACCGCAGTCCAAGAGATCCCCGTCGGCAAAGTAACAACCTACGGCCACATCGCCAGGCTCGTCGGAACCCGTGAGTCCCTTCCTCACTCCGCCCCTCCACCCCATCCCTCTCATTCATCCCCGGAATCTCATCTCATCAAATCTCACCCCTCTCACGATTACACGCATCATATATGACATTCACGATGAACATCCACCAGCTAACAACCCCCCAAAGCCGAACGCCCCCGTCAAGTAGGCATCTGCCTCAAACACCTCCCCACAGACCCAACATCCCGCTTCAACAACGAAAACGTCCCATGGCAGCGCGTCATCAACGCCAAAGGAACCATTTCGCCACGGTACATCCACCTCACCCACCCACTCCTACACCTCCATATTCACACTCGCACTCACACTCACGTACACACACGCAGCTAACATCAAATCCCCGCACTTAGCTCCCAACCCTCGGGCGCCCGAAACCAAGCCGAAGCTCTCCAAGCCGAAGACGTCGAAGTCTCGCGGACGGCAATGGGCGAGTTCACGGTCGACTTTAGTTCCTACGGCTGGTTTCCCGATGTCCTCCCCTCTGAAGAAGAATGAAGGCGGGGCACAGTCAAGATGATGAACCCGAGGGATGTCTCGACATGGAGAGTCCAAAATGTCACAGGGCAGCAACCTGTCTTGACAATCATCAACGCAAAGGCACGGCAGAGGCACGGCAAGAGGCGAGACACGTGAAATACTGAACTTCCAAACCACTTTTTATTCAACCGACGGCATTCCAGCGGGCACCAAACTAGCAATAGCCAAGGTGTCTAGTACCCCCCCCCCCCCCTCGTCTCGTCTCTCAAGACCTCCTTTGAGTAACCAGGCAGCCAAAGGCAGCCAGCCCAGCCTCGCAAACGCCTCAAGAGACCGCCACCAAACGCAAACCGGTCCGCCTCCAACCCATCACCGTCCCATCCACCATCCTTCCCTCGTGCCGTCATTAGTGCACGACGTCGGTCTTGCTATTCGTAAAACAAATGTTATGTAAGAGAAATAATTAGAATAGAAACAAAGAGAAGTGAAGGGATGGATGGTGCATATCGTATGAGCAAAGTCGCGTAGTGGTATTGAAAAAAAAAAGGAGTGGTCCATCATCAATACCCTCCCAGAAGAATAACGCACGTACGAGCCACCAGTATGAGAAACTCCTGCCCAATTTTTCTGGGTTTCGCCATGCGTAAGGGGAATCATCTTTGGCCAGCATGGAAAATGCCGCAAACGCAAAATACAATATGGCGCGAGGGGTAGTGTAAACGGCAAAATCGAAAATCAAGAGAACGCCCTAGCACGCCGAAATTTTTTTTTTCAAAACCCCGGCCCAATCGACGTCGATGATGCGAGACAGGTCAATCCAATCGGACTCGGTCCCTCCGAGGTGCGAGGTTCCAGCAACAAGGCCTCAACTAGAAGCAGTTGAGGGAACCCTTCTTCTTCTTCTTGGACAGTGCATTCATGCGCTCTTCAAGAAGACGCTGCTGTGCCTCGGCAGCCTGGCGCTTCTTGCGTTCCTCCTCAACAGCATGCAAGCTCCAGCGGTTGTCGGCTTGCGGCGTAGGCGCGGGACGGTCCTTGAGCTCCTTGACCTCGGACTCCAACTCTACGCAGCGCTTGCGCCAAGCATCGCTGTCGGCCTTGACCTTGTTCGACTGGCGCTCGAGATCGGTGAGAGCCTCCTCCAGAGTCTGGGTGAGTTGCTTCTCGGCCTGCAGATGTTTCTCGATGGTGCGGATGCGAGCCTCCTGGTCTTCTTGGATTTGGTTGGCGGAGCCCATGTTGTCTTTGCTGCCAGGTCGACCTGCTTGAGTGGGTGTGCTTGGCACCGTGCCATTGGGGCCGGACGACGCGCCGGGCAGCGGTGGCAAGGGGATGGCCGGCGGCGGAGAGGGCAGAGATGCAACAGAGGCGCTCTTTCGCAGCGGCGAGCTAATCGAGTTGGATCTTTGGACTTGGCCAGAAGCCGACGCTTCGTCAATCTTGGCCTGTACTACGTTAGCAATTGAAAAAGACCGAGCTACTTGAATGGCACATACCTGGAGGGCCGCGTATTCGGCCTTGAGTGAATCAAGCTCACTTTCGGCCTTGAACTTGGCAGCCTGGGCTTCCTCAATCTGTGAGTTGCGCTCTGTCTGCAGCGTGGACAGGCGGTTGTTGGTCATTTGGACCTGATCAAAGTTGCTCTGTAGCTGATCCTCGAGCTCCTCCACAAGGCGAGAGTTCTTCTTGTTCCGGCTCTGCAGGTCTGAAATCTTCTTACGAATAGCAGACAGCTGATCGGGGAGAGGAGCAGGGCTCTTCAGAGGCTCGCCCTCCGCAGTAAGGAGATCGGTCAGCGTCGATTTGGCCTGCTCAAGTTCCTTGACCAGGTTGTCGTTAACGGTCGACAACTCGGCAACCTGCTTCTCAGCTGCGCTCGACTTCTTCTGCTCCTCGCCCAAGGCCTTCTGGTCGGCAATTAAGTCGTCGATACGCTCTGTGATCTTCTCGATGCTGACATCCAGACCAAGAGCGAACGCAACTTGGGTGGCGACCTTCATGAGATCTTCCCGGGCGTCATTAAGCTCGCATTCGAGGGCTCTGACATTTTCCGCATGCTCGTTGAGTAAGACTGCGACCTGCTCCTCGTATCCCTTCTGCTCCATCTGCTTCATTTCCTCAAGCTCCTTTGCGTGGTTCTCCTGAAGCAGCTTCATACCATCTTGATGCGTCTTCAGGGCCTGCTCGTGGGCCGTAATCTGGTTCTCCAGGTTCGTGATGAGACTTTGCTGCGTCTTAGCCTGTGTCTCATGCAAGTTGCGGGCCCTGATAACGTCCTCCAGCTCCGTCTTGGTGGCAGCATGCGCTGCTTCCAGTTCGGATACCTTGCTAGAGTTGGTTGTGATGGCAACCTTGTGCTCGTCGATCTCGTCGCGAAGTGACTTGACCAGCGTCTCGTGCTTCTCCTCGATTTCCTTGACTTCTTCAGCACTCCGAGCAGTGGAGTGGGCAGAGGCCTGCGTGTTCAGCGCTACAATTTCAGTTTCGAGCTCTTCAATTGTCTTCTTCATTTTTGTCTCCGTCTCTTGCAAGGTGTCGAGGGCAGTCTGGTGCTTCGTCTCCCATGCCGTGAGTTCGGCTTGTAGTTCGATGATCTTCTTGTCGTTCTCCTCTGTGGTCTGCAAAGATCTTGACTCGGTGTTGGTGACTTCGGTCGATGCCATGGGGATGTCGGCAACGGCACCGGCCGCGGCAGTCACAACCAAGGTCTCGGTAGTACCTTCAGGAGCATCCCTCACAGCAGTGCGCAATGTTTCGAGCTCGGCCATAAGCTTCTTCTCAGTGGCTTCGTGGGTTTCTCTCATTTCTGCCATCTGTTTCTCGTTGGCCTCGAGTTGGTTCTTCAGGGTGGAGATCATCGACATGTCCATCGGAGACGCTTGCAAACTAGATCGCTCGCGAGTGAGCCCAGAAATTAGAGCCATCTTGGTTTCCATCTCTTTCTTTGCGGACGCAATGTCAGCCTCGAGCTCCTGAATGCGCTCCGAGCGAGCATGCAGCTCATGCATAGCGGCGTTGAGGTTAAGCTCAAAGTTTTGCATAACATCAGGCTGGCCTTCGAAATTGTCTGCGGCAATGTTGCGGAGCGACGCAAAAGATCGATGAGCGCGGTCGATAATCATAACATTTTGGCTGGATTTGCGGCGAATGACGGGTTGACCAGTTCGTGGTGACGACGCCTCCAATGCCTTTGCTTGGGCAACTTCAGTCTTGAGCTCCTCCAGCATATCAAGGGCTTCGTGGTGCTTCTGTTCAAGCTGTGTGTACTTCTCGGCAAGCTCTTTCTCGGCATCTTCCTTCTCGGCAGCAAGAGTCTTGAACCTCTCAACCTCCGTCGCCAGGAGATCCTGGTGCATGAGATCCTCCGTTGACAAATGTTCGGAACTCGACTCGGGCTTTGCAGTCACTGCCGTCTCGGCGTCAGACGGATCAATCGTGGCAGGCGACTCCAACGCCGATGAAAGCTCTGATGAAAGCGACCGTGATGAAAATTGGCCGCCGTCTTTAAGATCACTCGACCTGGCGTCGGAGAAGAACGAGGGTGGTCGGGTGAGGTTCGGAGAAGTGACAGACATCATAGAGTCTCGGACCTTGCGTTCGGGGTGGCGAGACTCGTCGATGGTGTCCTGAAGCTCTGCCAAGGTGCGTAGGGCTTCCTCGTACTTGGAGTGCAGAAGGTCGTATTCATTGACCGTGGTCTCATGCTCTACCCGCAAGTCGATGAGCTCCTGGGTGACGTTCTCCAGCTTGTCGTGCACAAATTTGGACTGAGCAGGGCTGTGAGGGGGGTAGTCGTTGAGATCAGCCTGAAGGTTCTCCTTCGCATCAGGTGTCACAACATTGGTGCCATTTTCAATGTGATCGCCGTTTTGAACGGGACCTGTTGCCTCAGCTGCCGCCGCAGCTTCTTCTTCGGCATTCTCAGGAATGATATCATTCTGGCTCATGCGGATAACACGCGACTGGGACTGGCTACGACTGTGGTCAGCAATCTGGCGCGCAACACCGTTCGATGCTTCGGCAGTTGGCTCTGGAACTTTGCTGTCGCCCTGAATATGGTCCAGCTCGTGGAGCAGAGAGTCCAGCTTTCCGAGACTTCGCTGGCGTTCAATCACCTGCTCTAGTCGATCAATCTCACGCTGCATCAGCTCTGCATCCTGGTCGGCCTCGGCGAGTCGCTCCTCCAAGGTAGAAATGTAGTCCTCGCAAGAGGCTTCATTCTCTCTGATCCGCGAGATCTCCTTGCGAAGTTCCACAATGATCGTCGTGTTCTTTTCCTCCCCAGAGGTGTGGCCGTCCAGCTTATTCTCCAGGTCGTGGAGGTAATTTTCCGTACTCGCTTCCCTATCCATGAGTTTTTGTAAACGTGCCTGTAGCTGTGTGTTGATGGTCTCAATGTACGTGCACTTGGTCTCTTTTTCTAGCAGATTTGCCTCGGTATTGGCGAGTGTGCCGCGCGTGCTGGATAGCGATTGCTCAAGAGTTTGAATGGTCTTCTCGTACTCGAGCACGACTTGTTCGACTGCAGCAGCGAACGAGTTTGATCGATTTAGTCTTTCTGTGGCCGTGTCGCCCATGGACTCCTCGTGTTGATTGTTTTCGGCAGCTTCGTTATCGCGGGCCTTGGCCATCTCAGCAATAAGCTTCGCGTGACGTTGACTCAGGGTCGTGTAGTTTTCTTGGACGTCCAGAAGCTGATTTTGCAGTTCGCTTTCACGTTCATTTTGTCGCTCAGACCGCTCGCCCGTGGAGGCGATGCGCCTCTCGCCCCCGCCTCGCTCCGCGCTGCGGACTTGCTCGCGCAGGAAGGCAACCTCCGCCTTCAGACGATCAATGATGGCCTGTTTGTCACCCTCCTCCACCTGCTGAATCCGTGGCTTACTTTGGATGGCTCGGGCCCTCTGTGCATATTGGACGGTGTTTAACGTTTCGCTGAGATGGAACTCGGCAGGTGTCACGCAGGCAATCATGTACGTGATGGCATTTCCACCGAGCGAGTCTTGGAGGAGACGGGTGAGTTTAGAGTCGCGATAAGAGACGTGCGACCCGGCCTGTCGTGATGAAAGCTGTGAAATGACTTTTCCAAGCGCAGCCAGGCCAGCGTTGATGGAAATACCTTCCTTGGCACGCTCGCCCTGTGCGCCAGTGTTTTTCAGCCGCTCACTACCTGCCAGATCGACGAAATGGAGCTTGCTGTCTGTGGTAACCCAGGTCTCGGATCCCGTCATAGCTTCGATGGGCACGGAGAAACGCTTGTCGGCCCCATTTGAGCCCTGCAGGCCGCTCTTCCGCTGCACCAAGTTGAGACTGAACACGGCGTGGGACCGGGAAGACCTGGCGTTAATGGCCGTCGCATCTGTCTGTCGGAGGGTCGAGCCGAAATTCAATGCATTCATGAGATCCTCCACGGAGTTAATTTCAACCTGTCGCAGGCCGGTCAGGATGATGTTGCCCTTGACATCTTCACGAATTGTGACGTTGCCACGCTCATGTTGTGGAACGTGGTCCGGAAGAAGCAGATCGCGCAGTTGCTCGTTGTAAATTTCGAGGTATGTCGCTTTTAAAGACCATGTCCTGTCCGCTGCTGAGGTCGACGATGGTTGGGCGGAGTATCTATGTGGTGCTCTTAGCTGAGACATGGAGCCACGATTCGCTTGTTTCTTCGGGCCGTCGAGCTTTTCGAACAAAGCCGTCGCCGCTCGGGGAATAACGCCTAGAAGAACATTGTCAGCTTGTGAGATTGTAGAAGCCGGAGAGCTTCGCAGATAACCGAGTAGCACGGTAACACAACGCAGTGTAACTAACCCATCACCTCGAGGTCGTCCTGATCGATAGGACCTGACGTGCCCATCGTGTACGACTTTCCAGCGCCAGACTGGCCATACGCCAACAGCGATACATTGTAGCCCTGGATGAAAGCGCCGACGCAATCCTGCAAGTAGTCCCAAATGCCTTCTTGTTCAACATCGGAGCCAAAAACGCGATCAAATACGAATAGTTTCCTTCCTTGTGGTGAGTCGATCGCTAAGCTCGTATTCGATGTCACCTGAGCCATTGATCTTTGAAATCGTTGAGGAATTAATTCGTAGCCTGGATCTGTGGGTTTCAGAGGCGGTCGAACACGCACAGCTACGTAGAAAGAGAACGAGGTTAGTGGTGTGATGATACACCGGCATGAAAGGGGAGGTGCCGCGCGATTCTCAGACAAGCGACGAACGGCACCGGAAATGGGAATTGCGCACTTACCAACTTTGACGGCCGTCCGGGAGTCTTCGTCGGAGGCTTTGCTTCCACCGCCATGTTTGCTCGTCATGCTCAGACGGCTGTTGCTCCGTGGTGATGGTCGCACCATTGCGCTCAGCGGTCTTTGGGGTAGATGATTCCCAGGGGAGGCCGGCGGTGAGCTGGCCATGATGGGAAAGGGAAAGAGAAGAAGGGCTTTCTCGGAGCGGGTGCGCGAGCGGAAAGTGTTCCTCCTTGTATAAGGTTAATCGCGCGCGAGGCAAACGGTAGAACGAACGGGGTGTCGGGATTGTGCAGTCCTGATCCCCAGGCTCGAACCCTGTACTGCGGAGGGTATGAAGCACTGTTCGGTATCTTGTGCAGTTGTGCCGTTGTCTCAAAAGTGTGATCGAGTCGACGGGTGACGATTGCGCGAGCGTGTGGAGGGTCCTATCTGTCCGTAGAGGGGAAGAGAAGCTGTTTCCGGTGCACTACTTCTTATGCTATCGAGGGTCGGGAAATTTTGTTGTTATGTTGGCTGTGAAGGAGTGATGGAAGGCTATTCTCTTTTTTTTTTCGGATTCACCACAAAAGCGGCAGCGCAGCAGCAGCAGCAGCTCGGTGAAAGTGAAGGAACAAAGGCGTCATATGGTACCGAATATCGTATCGAAGTGTCGAGGAAGCAGAATAAAAACAAGCAACAGCAAGGACGGGTCGCCTATGGCTCTCTGGGAGCCCGTCGTCGTGTTGCGTTGCGGGTGCAATGCGTTGTCTGGCGTTGCTTGGGACGCGCGCGAGATTGTTGGAGATATTCGTAGGAAAGGGTAGCCCGGGATGTTGGAGTGTTTTGTTGCGGGTTCTGCTGGCCGAGCAGTGTGGAGGGGGGCATGCGTGGACAAGCTACTCAGGTAGACGGCGAATTGGGATTGGGGGTTCGCAATGCTGTGGTGGACTGTTCTTCTGTGCCGAGTCCGCGTCCTTGTAGTAGACACCTCACACAGGACTGGGCCGGACTGGGACCTGGGAATGGTTAGACTGACGAGGTCCAGGGGTGGGAGAGTAAGGTACCTAGAGGAGAGGTCGAGAGAAGAAACAGGGGAACCCAACCGTCAGTCGTGTTTATTCGCCAGCGGCGAAAGAAGTGTCGACAATGTCGAAGAGGTGGCACTGTGGTAGGTACTCCGTACCCAGGCTGGCAGCAGCAGAAAGTAGAACGCAGCAGACAGGCCGGGGGGTGTGGTGTGGAGGTCTCGCAAATTAGGAGCGCGTCGGTAGTGGGCTGTGATTGGGTGGCGCGAGATGTGACGGATGCGCCCGTTCTCACAGTTGAATGTCTCCTGGGCCGATTCGGGAATGGCAGCAGACGGGCTCAAGGGGGGCCGACTTGGGGGGACTCCTGTCTGTTGCTGCTTCTGGTCTGAATCAGGTCGAGTGCGAAATAATCCCCGGCGGATCGTCGTGACAGGTATGGACCGCTTCTGAGTCGCGATATCCGACCGGATGACTGCCTGCCAGGTGGGTTGTGGGGGGGAGGAGGATGAAGTCGGAGAGGAGGAGGACTGCAGGAGAATGTCAAGGATGAAGAGGGCCAAAAAGGTGGAAGATGAATAATTCATGGATCACAGAAGAAGGCAGCAGACGGGAAGGAGTCATTCGTACGGATACTCGTACGGATAATCACTGGTGGAATGGAGGAAAGGAGGAAAGAACGAAACGGCTGAGCGATTGACGTTCCTTCCATTCTTTGCCAATTGTAAAGTACTTGACCATGCCAGGAGCACCTCGCGGAATGGGAGGTTCTGACACGAAAAGAGCAATGAATGGGAGCATTGAGTGGCAGGAAGAAAGACGCAAACAATGAGTTCCTCGTTTAGTTCTCCCAAACTCGTCACCTCGCATTTCCATTAAACAATTATAAGATGATTATCTATTACCTCATATCATGAATAGAAGAACGAATAAGACTCGGCAAAGGACGTTGAGCCTCTTTAGACTGCTCGTCCCAGTTTACGACCTTAACTTACCAAGTAGGTGCTTAATTATCGAGGAGCCATCACTATTGGCAAAACCTATCTCCAGCTGCAATGTCCAGAGAGACAACGGCAGAGAGTCCGGTCCTGACTCTAGCGATACAAAGCCAGGGTCCAGGACAGGGGATTGGATGGATCATGGAATAGGCAGGATGAGATGGGATGGTCCATCCACTGATGAGAGAGAGGGCCGTGTTATCCCGGGCTTCCCTTTTTCTTGACTGCATTCCATAGTACGGATAGAGCTTTGATCCAATGTACGGCTGCTAACCCTTTCTTCTTGTTTTCGCTTGTGAGAGCTAGAGTCCACCGATGTCGATGACCGTAAGCCCGGTCTTGATGCCAACCATTGTGTAAATGATGTGGAATGCCGTTTATTCGCTACCTTGTCTCGATAGCTTCAAAAACCACCACTATTTTCTATCCAACGAAATGCGATACACAGCGAAAGGAAGGAAAGTGCAGAGGGGGAATGGAAGCGAAAGGTGGGGCAGCGACCGAGCGGAAGTGGCCAAGCACTTAGACCCGACATTCAGACCAGGGGTGGGCCGGGGGACGCCAAGCGGGGCACTTGAGAAAGGCGCCTTCCCTGATCGGGTCTTAGTCATCTTAGACCCCAGTTATCTTCGTTTGTGGTCTGTCAAGAAACGAGCAGGAGGGACGTGGAGGGCTGCTTGGTCTACTGCACAAGACGGGAGGCAAGAGCGCGACTGCCAATCGACAACGAAAGCACCAAATCGACCGGTCCAGGGCGGGCAGCAATGCAGGAAGGCACCACGCGAGACTGGATCTTTGGAGGCAGGAACCAACTTGGAGTTGCCCACCTGCCTGCAAGGCACAAGGTACCTCTAACTTTCCGCAGCAGACTTAAGGTAGGTACGAAGCACCTAAGGCACAAACATTCCGGAAAGTGAGGCATAGGTACCTTCCGCTATCTACCTCATGTAGATACTGTGTACTAAGGTACCTACAAACTACAGTGTAAGGTAAGGTAGGTACGCCCCCACACACCTTGAAGGAAGGTGCCTTGACTGGCACTCCTGGAAGGCACGGGTCAAGGTATCCGTACATGAACCGAGTGGCCTCCACACCTGACGCAGGGACCAGCGCCTCTCAAAGAGACAGAGAGAAAAAAAAAATCCAGTGGAAAAAAATCACCCAACTTCTAAGACGCTCAATGTGACATTGCCACGGCACCTCCTCCACCCACCCAGTTACCAGTACCAGTGGATTGATTGTGTGTTCGGCCCCCTTCGACAACAACCGTAGCATCAACACACCTACGGATCGCTGCACTGCGAAGGAAAAACAAGCAACAACTTGAGTGAAACAACAGAGCACCTCTGCCCACCCTTGCACCGGTACTTCGGGTCACCTTGTCTTCTTTCTGGAACCCTTATCCGGAAACCTCTTCGGATCCTCCACGTCCCATGCCCTCGGTATCCGTATCCGCAAAGACATGGAGATTTTCTGACTTGTCCGAGGAACAGTATCGGCCAGAGAACACTTCAGTCTGAAATGTCATGACAAAGGACATTAGATGCCATGGTTCTTGTTCCTCACAAAGATTGCTCTGCAGAGGTCAACTCCGAGTCCCCATATAAGAGAGGCCTAAGACGACGAAGGGTCGTCCGTGGGGGGAGGTTTTCATCAACCATGGATCTTCCGCCCCGTCCGCCTGCAGTTGATTGCGAACAATCGAAAGATTTCTGCACCAACAAGAGGCGCGTTGCTTTTTCTTCTGCGCCATCTAGCCGGCATCCACGGTTCACGCAAATTCAGACTACAGCACGCGCGCAAGTGCCTCTCCAAAGTTGAAGACTGGCTGATTCTAAGGACTTGGAAGACGCTTGCTTGCCCTAGTGGCCCTTCCATAAAACACACAACGGCCACTACTGTGCACGATCCCGACAAAAGCCTTCTCACTTGGGACGCCTTCTTACGATTACCAAGCGGACACATACCACGCACCCAATGGGAACGCATCCAACTCATGGCCCGAGAGGCCGGCAGAAAATATACTTCCGACCGAGGCCTGCCAGTCCCGCCGGTTTCTGATACGTGACAGCTCTGCACCAGCCAAATCGCTTTCCGTCCCTGTTTATCACTGCTTCCTACGCAAGGGCAGATCGAAAGGATTTGGCGCGAGAAACAACACAGTTGGTGTATCCCAGGGGACGCAATGAATAGCGGCCATCATGCAGACGAGCTGTTGAATCATGTTTACGGTCGAGACCGGTGGGCGTAATGGTCAAAGACACCGCAAGGCATCGTTGCCATCCAATGCCTCTATCCGTACAGCGAGGCTGGGTCGCAACTCGAAACCTTCTTTTGCTTCACGCTCACTAAGAATTGGCACCACGGAGCGGGCTTTGAGCCTCTATGTCAACGTCCCGAGTCAACCGGTACGAGGTCTCAGAAACTAGTACACTTACTGGCGGTTCACGTCGCCACCCACGATTGGATCTCTGGTCTTCCGCACCATGACGTTTGTGAATCATTACGCGTTCAGCAACAGTTCCAAGGTACTCCGTACACGAATCCTGCCCTCCGGAGCCCTCAGACGTCTGCGAGGGCACCTGCAAATCCCCAAGATTAACAGGCCGGATCCGACCAAATCACCTCCCGTCTCTAGGCATTGATCGTCCCTCCCGCCAATCCCACCCCAAACCTTATGCGTCGTACCAACGCGCCGTCTCAACCTACCGACATCGTCGTCCTGTCTTCCGCTGCTGCCCTGTTCGCCAGAGCGACACTGACACTGCAAGGCCACCAGACCCTTTCGAACAGCTGGCAAACGTGCCTACATTCATTCCAACCCTCCATAGCGCGACTTGCAGTCATCCAGAACTTAAAACCATACGCAATCGACCGTGCGCTCACAGCTTTTTCTTGAATTTTTCCGGGGTCAAACGCAAGAAATAGGGGTTTCGCTCGTTCGCCGATCCCATCATCCCATGTCGCCTTGACGGGAAGGCGGGCGAGCAACAGGCCGCTTCTTGTCTAAGGAAAGGTCTTGAATCGCAGACGAACGATTCCGAATTGACGGGGAGTCTACCAGCTGCTGACAACTACTGGAAATTGGGCTATCCGTCACTTT